AATTTTAATAAAACTGCTCGTATCAGGGCGAAGCCCTGAATGTTCCGACTGCCTTTTAAGGTTTATGGAGTAGTAATAACATAAAAAAATTAAATGAAATAAAAAAAATGAAATTTTATTTTTTTCTAATTGGAAATTTTTAATGAAAATCATCCCCCCACACGCCAAATAAAATACAAAAAGATAGATTTTGTTCCTTGTAAAAAATCAATTATGACGAACAAGCTTCCTTCAACCAATTTGGAACGATTTCTATGACGGATTAAATCTCCGCTTACGCGTTAATAGCGCGAATTATATCGCGCGTTAATTGTCCCAAATTGGTCAAAATGGCCAAGGTGGCAATCTTTAAACCCTCATAACTTCACGAAAAATGATCACAGTTAAAATATCTTTTCAAATTTAAGCTTAGGACAACAATACTTTTCAAGTGAAAAAAAAATTACGTCAAAAATGGCTAGTTACAAGTCGAAATTTGTCTGAAGAAAAAAAAACCCACCCCGAGCACACATATTCCGTTACTTTCGTATCGAAAGTCGGAACAAAAACATGATATGCACAACTTTGAACATTATGCTTTAAAATTTCTACGTTTTGTCTAACAAATGAAGTTTTGAAACAGCTGTTTTTCTTCATTTAGAAAACCTTATCATATGACAAGCAGATTCGTTCGATCCTAAATACAAACACGCTAGTCTTAATGCACTTCAGACAGCTAATTTGAATGAATTGTGGCGCATTAATCAAAACGAGCCGGAAAACATTCGATCACGGTGGAATCCCTCATGCGCGAAGGACCGAATGCGCGAAATTTAAAATCAGCCAATCAGATTTCAGTAATCTAAAATTGGGAAAGAAAGTTAACATTTCTAGGGCTGAATATTGATATTGCCCGAATATTAAAACGGCAGAAATATGCAAATATTTCAAATTGTCACTGACCGCCGCCGAATCGGAACAATTTTTTTTTTTTAATATTTCAAGGGTTTCGTTATGAAAGAAGCAAAAAATTGCTTCATTTATTTCATTTCAATTGAATGGCAATCGCTTCTTTTTAAAATTTGATTTTTGGCTAATTTTGTTTGTGGTCCTTCGCTCACGAGTTTTTTCGCCCATTCGGTCCTTCTAGAATAGCCCCCTGCGAGCAAAAGTTTGCGGCCAACTTGTTCCATAACAAGTTTAATTGATACTCGGTTTGAATGTAATCAATCACTCTAACAGTTTGCTTGATTTCGTTTTTTTGAGTGTTTTAAATACCAGTAAATGTTTTGAAAAACCTTGATTTTCTAGAAAACACTTCTTTTTATTTTAATACTAGAAAAAAATTGAGAGCCACATGTCTACCACGATTGTATTCAGCAATGACATGTTAATATTTGTACATATCGAAGCCAATCAATTGAACCAATGACCAATTTTGTTATGTTTCTGGAGATAGGCGACTTTCAGTGCAGAACCAAGCTTATGCGACACGACTGCAAGAGCAATCAAACTCCTCAATAACTCCAACACCAGACAGCGGTTTATAAACATGGAGCAGAACAAGCGAGCCCCACTGCGCCTAAAAAAATTATGACTGACAACAAACCCGGACCTCAAGTTGTACTGGGTCCGATCATCAATTCAAAAGCCCTCAGTATAGCGTTTGCTGTCACTACGATGTCTGGGTACACCTCAAATGTACTAAAATCACCCACAACTAGTCCCAACCAAAGAAAGCACAAGTTCAATGATCTTCAGTTCAAACTCAACGAATGAAAAAAAAACAAAGTTGAGGTAATCAAAGAGCACATCAAAACGAGCGATATTGAAATAGACTCTATACAAGAAAAAAAACTTGGATGTTGTGATGAAAGACCCTCCTGGGTATCAAATAGTGGCCATCAACCGCCCTAAGGAACGAATGGCAAAGGCGGATGTTTTGCATCCACCCCTGATAAAAAAAATTATCTAATAGCCCAAACAATCCCTACTCACACTACTCACATCAGACAGTCACAGAAAACAACAAGAAATACAAATTATATCAGGCAACTCATTTCTCTTCTTGGTAAACAATTGCATTCGAAAACTAAGCTGCTCCAAAGGGTTCTCGGCCTCGATAAATTACTTACTAAACCTAAAGTCGTCTGCCATTGCAAGTTACACTAACACACACAATGAGCAAACGACGTTAACGCACACAAAAAAGGACAAAACTGCAAGCGAACGCTGAGAAATAAATAGACTTGATTCTCTTAAATAAAAACCTCCCGACTCGGGTCACCAACATCTGTTCAAGGTCACTGGACATTACACTTCGTACAGCAAATCTAGCCATGAATGAAAGTTGGAGCATTGAACTAATATTTGACACGAGTCACGTCCTAATTATCGTACAATTCACCTGCGACATCGAATTTTTTTTTAAAGCAGAGAAACGCAAATACATTAATTCCAGGAAAGCACACTTGTTAAAATTCCGTCAGAAGAATTAACTCTGAAGGCGTAATTTCCAGGCAACGTTTTTAAGGATGAAAAGATGTATAGAGATAACATCCACAAACCGCGTCATGCAATAACCCATGGTGCTACGAGAAGCACATACAAGCGCATGCAAGAGCAAATTTCCAATAACACCCTGGTCATCCACATCATAGCCATAAATCAAAACTAATAATGTAATACACAACAATAGCGCTCAAAGTGGATTTTTTTCCTAGAAAAGTGAGAAAACAGAGTATAGTCAAGCAAGTAAAAATCGAACGCTAAATCTCGTTTAGGACTTAATACACTGCAGACATCTAACAAACAATTTTTTTTAAACAAAGGACATTTCAATTTATGGTGCTAAAACGTGCGCCAGGCGCTTTATTGAACCATAAACTTCCTCTGCAGATAATTTTGACAAAGAACAAAACAAAATGCGTAAAAGAAAAATCCCATTGGAAGCAACCAGCTTCACTGCTGAAGAATTATGAACTACAAATAAATTTAAAAAATCAATAAGGCCCTGGATCCTGATAAGATTGTACCTGTTCACCTTCACTACCCTGGTTTGGTCGGCATAACGCACATCATCAACGTTAACACATCACTAAATAACGCAAACATCCCACAAGACTGCAGGATCGATGGAATTATCCCACCATAAAATTCCGGTAAGGATCCTGAAATATTTGCTGTCTTCCGTGGCTTAACTTTTATACATACGACTCCTACCCAAACTGAGCCAGTGCATTGAACGGCTTATCTGTATCAGCCTCAAGATAACTAAGGGCTCTAACAAAATAAAAACCTGTCGTAGAGCGCTACTGGTCACTTTCGACCTTATCACTGCATTTGTTACCGTTAACGGCGAACTGCTTTTTAATACGACCTTGTCTAACGATACTAAACTATGGATCTCACTGCATTTCATACTGTTAACGGCTAATTTCTTCTTAAAACGACCCTCACTAACAAATACTAAACTATTTTGCAAGGCCGATCCCCATACGTCGAGTGTACAAGTCAGGCATCAAGCGAACGTAAAAGAAAAGAACGAGTCCCACTAGGTTATGCTCTTATCACCAGCTCTCTCTCTCTCTCTCTCTCTCTCTCTCTCTCTTCTTGTTAAAGCATTAAACAGATCACTTTTCTTACATCTGGACCCAATGCATCGGTACTACACATCCCCATGAACACAGACATGGAACCCCTACAAACATGGAACATAGAGAGACGTCCTAATCTATCCCTTGATGATAAATATATGGCCGCATTGTTTGCCGAATGGTGTGCCGATGTAAATTTTTAAACTAAGGCTTCTAAGAAGGGGCTTAAAATCTCCATACAAGCAAAGTACTCGTTTCAATAGTGACGACAGATGCAGACTTGCTCAGCTCCGATCAGGATATTTTCCTTTGCTGAATAATTGGCGGAGTAGGTTAGACCCTATAATCCATAATGTCTGTGAAATTTGAACTCGAAGCTCTCATGATACAGTCGCCTTTTTACCTGTCAATGCAGAGCCACAAATTTAGATATCCTCAGTATCTGGACTGAGTTTCTCCGCGTAGCTGATTGTCTTCAGCTCATAAAGCACGGCGGAGTGGGAGAGCTAAATTTCCTTCAAAACTAATTAATATGTCGAAGGATACTGGCCTCATAACACAAAGTACTCATGAGAAAACCTAAGAAAACTACCGAGCTAATTCTTAGGTTAAGTGTTCAGTCAGGAAAGCCAATTTTGACAATATTCTTTGGTTAAACTGCCACGTCCTTCATTTTGCAGAAAAATGTTATGGATTTTGAAAAGTCATTTTTTTTGAGCGTTTGATCATCTCTTAGAAATTTTTTGACTTTTCTATGAAATTTGGGATAAAGGGTCAAATGGAAGAACCGTTTGCGATATTTTTCCTACAGAAGCCGTGACTTCCCAATTTTTTGTAGAAAAAAATGTGATTTCTCAGAATCCTATTTCTCAAAATTTTTCAGTCTTTTAAGTTATTTTATTAGAGAAACAACTAAGGTTTTGGGCTAAGTCCATTTTTTGAATTTACCCATTTTGTTCCTCATCATTATAACAAATTCCTAAACTATCAAACAGTTACCTCTAGCTTTAGCTGGGATCCTCTTTTATCGAGATCTACGAAGTTTTTTTCGCCGAGTTTTTTTCTTATTTCTCATTTTTTCGACTTCTTTTTTTTTACGCTCGTGCTGTATCGCAAGTGATGCAGAGCTCTCGTCTCTGTGTTTAATTTGAAAGATTGTCTAAAGCACAGGCTTGAAAATTGATCCATCACCACATTATTCTTGATCAACTAACTAAGAAAAAAATCGTTTATCACTCTTTTACCTAAAAAATGCTGTTGAAAATTTTTTTATGGATTATTTTTTTCAAACCCTACTTTTGCCGTGTCAGAAAACATGGTAGAAGCAAACTTAACCAAGAATTTTTGCGAGGGTACGATCTGACAGTTGTAAGCTTTTCTTTTGGTGGAGCCTTCGATAAAATAGTTTTCCAAACTGCCCGGAAACTGAAATATTTTTAAATTTATTATAATGTTTCATTTCTTCAAAGTAAATCTCGGAGACCATGATTAGATAACCATGATTATGAGATGATCTTGATCTGGGGTCCATTCATAGATATTTGCCACTCCTTGCAGCTGTAGGCCTCCCCATCAATTGTAATTTTCTCTTCTTCGTTAAATTTCATCGACAGTTTATCAGCGAGAAAGATAGAATTGAGAGGCGATAGAACAAAAGCCTGGTTTCCCTGTTGCACTTTCAAAAAGAAATCCACCATTTGCCATCGTGAAATCGGTAGAATAAAACTGATTGCGAAAAACGGATCGCCTAACTGCACAAAGGGAACTCCGTCAGGGTCCATTGTCTCGTAAAACGAAGGGTTGTTGTGAATTGTAACAGTTGAAAAATAATCTTTGATGCAAATTTCCTTCCCATTTTTGGTACTTTTTTCCAACAAGACTTCTTCAGAACCTGAAATCTTTCGATATTCTGAGTAGTCAACTGACCACAAATGTTCCTCAATTTCGGCAAAGTTGAACTCGGGCATTTGATAATCTGAGCACTTGTAGATTTCATGTATAGCGGCAACAGTATAACGTGCCGGTCCCACAGAGCGGAAGTTTTCAGCATTGTAGGTGGAAGCTGCCCCGAACCCAATTGCTGATTTCTCAACCGACAGAATAGCAGTTGATTGATTCAAAATATTTTCGCAGATAGGAATTTTGGCCATTGTTCCTAAAAAATCATGAATTCTTACTAAAATGTTTTGAGACAAGAAGAGCTGGTTGCAGTGCAGGTGGCACAGAGTGTTTGACCTCAACAATTCAAAAAATTTAAAACCATAGAAAAAGTAAGAAAAGTATATCAAAAAAAATGTTCGATTTTTTCATGGTTATTTTTGTCTGCAAAGAGTGACTGCCTTAGGTTAAAAACACAAGAATGAGAAGCCTTTATATATAAATTAACGTTAAAATTGTAGGAGGTCAGCTTCTAACATCAAATTTTGTCGAATTTATCCTGAAAACTACTTTTATGATTTCTTTTTAAATCTGACCAAAACCAGTAGATTTTATATCACACTTTATTTTTGTTTATAATTTTTCTGTTATTTTTTTTCTTTAAAGGTGAATAAATTAGGTTAAAACATTCAAAAGTGAAAGAGAATGACAGCAAAATTAGCGTTAAAATCTAATTGAGCCCAATAACAATGTTTTTGAAAATCCGGTTCACGAACAATTGGGCTTCAATATGATATGAAACCAATGGGGTTTCAAACTATGGTTTTTCTTACTTCGTTAGGTGAATGGAGCAAAAACTAAAACCAGCTGCTGCGGTAGTTGCACAGAATGTTCCGACGTTTTTTAAAATACTTTGTTTTTCTTAAGAAGCAATTAAATTAGATTAAAAAAGGGTCTAGGGCTTTCTCGAGGAAGGGACGGCGGCGGATTTTCATATAAAGAGGCTAAGCAGAGCCTCGCATCAATTGCGATACAACAAAAATAGCATTGCAAGCTAGCATACAGGACAGGAAGCAACTAAATAAAAAAAACGAAAACTTTTTTGAAAAAATTACAACTAAAAAAATCTAAATTTGTCTGAACTGATAATCTATTTGCGGAACACTCGTCCGAAAACACATTCGACGGCATTTGTTGAATATTTGAAAACATTCGATCAAAAAAATGTTGCCCATAGAAAATTTAACTATAATTTCTATTTTGAGATTTAAAACGTTTTGTGCGATCCATAGGAAAGCATAAAAACTATGATTCCGTCGAACGACCCAAAATTAGGTTATTAAGTAGATAAAATACAAGCCGAAAAAAAGTTTTAAGCAAAAACATCACACGGGTAAAAAAGGAAAAATACGAAGTCAAAGTTAGTAGAATTACAAATTGAAGGAGTAAATGAAAACATGACAAGCAGCTACTCTGAAAACTGCATACAGCAAAAAATTGTAAGATTTGGTAAATAATCCGACAAAACATAAGCAGACAAATCATCAGCTGACAATTTTTTTGAAACGGAATTGTGCCCGTTAAAAAAACTGGTCATGGTCAGATTCGAACCCAGGGCCTTTGCCGTCCCAGGCGTATTCGTTATCTCCCGACTAAGTGTACTGGAGACGCTCAGAATTTTCAGTTAGTTATGAATCGAACCAAGAAACTAAGAAAGTGATTCAAGTCGTTCAGTAATCAAATTGTTAACCCGAAAAAAGCCTATATTCCGATTTGATAACGCAAGCGTAAGATTTTCGAACAATTTTGTCGACATTGTTTAGCTCGACTTAATGCATTTTCTGAGCTCTCCCAGATCACTATGAAAACTTTATTTTGACCATTACTTCTGCGCCGCAAACAATTTTTTAAAGCACTTTTTGGAAAGTTTCACAAAAAAAAAGTTTTTCGGCGTGAGCTCGCCCTCAAAATTAGTATATATTGGCGCCTAAGGCTCCTTTAAAAATATTATAGGGTTGGCCAATGGATTTCTTGAAATAGCCTCAAAGGGGTCTCTTTGCGTCAGCAGGGGCTCCTCCCCCTTAATCAGCCCCTAGTTATGATACCATAGTTAACGCTCTACGAGCATTCGTCGAGGTTGTCAAAATCAGGAAGAAAAAATTAGGATCGGGGAAAGAGTGTATATATATATATATATATATATATATATATATATATATATATATACATATACATATATACAAAAAGTTGTGCGGCTCGACATTCAAAAAATCGTTATGTATTTCTTATAAATTGGGCATTCTCTTAGGATCTAGAGCTGATGCGAATGGTCAACCTCCGCGGCCTTTCAATCATTGCTCGCCATTCAATCATCATCATTGTAATTGGCTATATTTTAGTGGATCTTACGTCCTAAATTACGTCAACCGTTTTGTTATTTTTTCTTTGGAAAAGCTGGAAATTTTAAAGCAACAAAACATCGCAACGCTGGTTGAATGAAATTTATCTAACCTTTGATTAAAAGGAAGGCACTGTTTTCAACAGACACTTTCCGAGCTCGCCCGTGCCATCCTCTCTCGATCAGAAGCGCCGCCGAAATACTATTGCCCGATCCACCCGGAAGCACCGAAAAGCATATTTTATCCAGGAACTCGCATTTCTTGCCCTCGCTCCAAGAGTTTATGATGTTTAGTATCTCGTGAAGCAACCCGTCGCCTCCAAAAAGAACCAATTCGTTCACAACATCGAAGTCAATTCGCTCTATAATCTGGCCGACGTGTTGCTTGCTTCGTGTGGTTTGTGTTTTGTACTGGATTCTGGCTTCGTACAGCATCGGAGCGACTAAGTTGTGAAAATCTTGGAGGGCGCGTTTCTTCCCACTGAATGGGTTGATAATCACAAGTAGGGATCTGAGCTTCTGTTTTTCAGTTTGAAATAATTCAGATAAATCATCTAAATAAGCTACAACCTATTAGCAGTGTAAGAAATATCACTTGCTAGTTCGGTCTCTTAATTAGAGTGGCCAAAAACTTGCCTATCATCTAAGCAACACTAGTTGAACACTGGTTGAAACTAAACTTGAAGCAAAATACCTTTATTTCCGCTTCCGTTTTTATAGATTTTTAAAAGTGGTCAAAAACTAAGCCCACCTTGTAGTTTTTGGAATGTTTCTTCATTTTCTATTTGAAGCTGATGTATTTTCTTTTTCCGCTGCCCATTTTTATCCAACGTGTATTGTGTTACCGTAACTTGAAGCTGACTTTTTTCGGCTAAAAAGCCAAAACAATCGTCTAAACATATTCGCTCGATTAACTTCTCGCTTTTGAAAATGAGTAGGATTTTATCTTCGATATTGTAATTCATAATCGATTATTAAATTGAAGCTAAATCAAAACTGTCGAGTTATTATATGAAGCATTGACCTGCTTAATCCAAAGTCCAACCATTTAGATAAGCTAGGTCTGATTGACCGCGAAGGTGTGTGAATACGAATATTTGAACAAGAGAAAATATCAGACAAAACAGTCAAAATTTCGAAGGCTTGTATTGGTCCGTCCTCTAGCGCTACATTTGACTCAGCAGGCTCTCGCAGTTCATCTTTTTGCAAAAAACGGGCTTGTAACATCGCAAGTACACTCAAAAAATTTCACGGCGTTCTTTTTCATATTCAGAGATTTTGGCACTTCTACCCGAGTCGGCGCTTTCAGTGATTTTTCGTCCATGGAAAGAGCGGAAAAATCTTAACGACATTACATCCCATTTGTAGCAGTAAATTTAGGACCAATCCGTTTATTTGTCACGTTTATGACGTGCATCAACAGCTTGTCGGATCTCAATGGGACACATAGATGGACGCTTGTATTTATATCTTGACATTTTGGCTCAGTTTTATAATTCTAATGCCGATGAGGAAATCACAAGTATGATTGATTTATACAACTTAAGATGCAGTCTTTCAAAAAAATTTATTGCCTCCATTTTTGTTGTTACTTTCGAGTTCATTTTGAAACTGTAAACACCAGAAAGAAAGTAAGCAAAAAATCAACAAGACTGTTCGTATCAGGACGAAGCCCTGTGTTATCCATACGGATATCATAGTAAAACATTCCATACAAACAATGTACAATCAGGTGCTAAAACTACCAGTTGGTAATGTTTACATATTATAAACCTAAATGATTACATAATACATATAGAAGTCTGGAATTAAATAAGTATCTATCTATACCTAACAACATATGTAATAGTTATTATGAAACGCTGTATCTCAAATGCTTCGAGGTCAGCGTCGTCCAGACTTAAACATAGACCGATGAATTTAAGTTACCATCGTAGTCTTTTCTATTTCTCATTTCATAGTCAGCGATTAGCATAGACTTGACAACTTAATTATACCTCACCTAACGGCTGAGGGTATAACATGGCGCAGCCAGCAGTCACAAAAAATCCATTGGGGATTACACCATTTTGGCAAAAAGCGTCCGCGGAACCACCAATAGAGTGGGACAAATGGAACCAGCAACTGTTTCTTGGCATCATCGCCAAAGATGGAATGAATTTGAACAAGCTTCTACATAACCCCCCAGCTGTTCGAAAACCCCAGGAACCAGGATACGAGCTCCCCATAGACGGAGAAACAGACAAACAAATACGCGATCGAAACCTTCGAAACCAAGAGAAACGTGTAACATGGGAGAACCAATGCCAACACTTGGATAATCTTGGCCCCACAGTCGACGGCATACCATGGGAGGAAGCCGATATCAAATGCAGAAGTTACATATACTTGTGTTTGGGGACGGAGGGCCAAAGACGAGTAACACAATTTTATCCAAATCTCAGAATTCAGGATACCTCAACCAGAGAGTTTTGGAAACTCCTTAAGCAACTATTTGTTAAAGAACGCAACGTAACCTTCGATCGTTACGAAGCTTTCACACGCAAACAGGGAAAAACGGAATCTCTGGAAGAATTCCACTGCGGACTTACGGAACTGGTGGTAAAAGGAAACTTTAAATGCACGGCATGCAACGATGTTAGTCTCGAATCCGAGATCGTCAGAGACCTATTTATAGCACACATGTCAAACGACGAAGTTCAAAAAGACCTTCTGGCCGAAACAAAAACTCCCGAACAAGCTTTGGACTACGCAATAAAACGCGAAAGAGGCCTCGAGAACCAGCTCTATATTAGAAAACAGGGAACGACAAATAATCATCCCGGAATGTCAAATATTAAATCTGAACCGGTAAATTTCGTTCAAAAGCGGGGCGGATTTAAAGCGCATCAGCGAGGTGGTCGCAGTAGAGGAGGACAAACGTCCAGAAACTATCCCGAGAAAACTGGACAAAAGAAAGACTGTTTCCAATGCGGAAATGCATTTTCAGGAAATCACTTAGCACAATGTCCGGCACGTGACAAAATCTGCAACAAGTGCACTAAAAGGGGCCATTTCGCTAGACTTTGCAGATCAAGTGAGGTTAATGCAATCCAGGAAGACAACCAAGAACAACAAGAACTTCAAGATACTGATATGACAGCATACGTAAATTACCTACAAGCGGGTGACGTCATACCAGGGTGGGAGTTAATCCATCCGGACGATACATCGACAAACTGGATAAATTTTGAACCAAGACGGGCAGAAGAACTATTGGACACAGATCTCAAAGGACACCTGATAAGGGTCCGCTCGGAGAAAAACAACATCGTTTTTATTGCCGACACAGGATCACCAACATCGTTCGTAAACGAAAAAACAGCCAACCTTCTGGCCACAACAGTAAAATCAGCGGTAAGAACAAGAATGCGAGAGGATGACGAAGCTAATAGAATGGTCTGCTACAATGGCTACAAAATCCCATCTCTTGGCAGACTAACCGCCCCAATCGAATCAGGAGGTTGGACAATCCACACAGCGTCCTTCATTGTGGTGGACGACAGGCGAGCGAACATTTTGGGGCGGAATCTTCTCCCGCAAATTGGCATCCAGCTACACCAAGAAAGAAAACCAGCTGGTAAGTCAGTATGTCAAGTTAATAGTATTGAAAATTCAGACACACAAATTGTAACGTGGGTCAGAAGTACGTATCCGGGATTGTGTAAACGAATTGGACGTTCAAAAAACCATATGGTCCATACACAATTTTTATCGGATTTCAAAGCCTTACAACAACGGGGGCGTCGAATTCCAATTCATATACAAGAAAAGGTGGAACACGAAATTAGATCATTAATCGATCAAGGTCACATCACTCGACTTGAAAAATGTAACGACAACCAATTCATAAGCCCTATCGTCATTACTGTTAAAAAGGATGGATCCATTAAATTAGCCATGGACTCAAAACAAATAAACAAATCGATCCACAAAAATAAGTACCAGATGCCAAATATTGACGTTCTGTTAGACAATATAGCACAATCGGCACAAGAGGGTACAAATAAGCCAGGAACGACGTATTTCTCAACAATAGATCTACGATACGCGTACAGTCAACTACCACTAGACGAAACAACCCGTACGCAGTGTAACTTCAGCATAATTGGAGGAAAAGCAACGGGAACATATCAGTTCCAAACCGGTTTCTACGGGCTAACTGATATGCCCGCAGAATTTCAGAAAGCCATTGATCTGACACTCAACAACGAGAAGGACACTTTCGCGTTCCTAGATGATATTTTAATAATATCCCATGGCACGAAAGAGAAGCATATTGAAAAATTAACAAAAGTTCTGAACAAACTAGATACGGAAAACATGGCTATTTCAATCGATAAGTGTAAATTTGGTTGTAGGGAAGTAGAATGGTTGGGATTTACCATAAACGAACACGGCACCATACCTATCCATAAGAAAACGGACGCAATTATAAACCTACCTCATCCAAAAACATTCAAACAATTGAAAAGTTTCATGGGTTCAGTTCATCACCTCAACAAATTCATCCCAAACTTAGCTCAGCTATGCAATCCCCTTAGACCACTGCTATCAACAGCAAATAAATTTAATTTCCAGTGGAATGAAGAAAACGGGAAAGCTTTCAAAAATGTATTAAATGCCGTAAAGAACATAACAGAAAACAGACATTTTGTAACGGACCGAGACACCCGAATTGTCTGTGACGCCAGCCGCGAAGGTATAGGCGCGGCCCTGGAACAAAACACACCGGATGGTTGGGCCACAATTGCGTATGCATCACGATTCCTAAATTCATGCGAACAAAAATACTCGGTAAACGAACTCGAACTTCTAGCCGCAGTATGGGCCATTGAGCACTTCAAGTACTACCTATACGGCAGACGCTTTACTTTAATAACGGACCATCAAGCATTAGTTGGTGCATTAAAAAGTAATAGGGGCAATAAAACCTATCAAAGTAGGTTAACCAGATGGATTGATCGACTCATTCCATTCGATTTTGACATACACCACCTAGCTGGTAGTAAAATGGGTCTCATTGACTACATCTCACGACACCCGGTCGGAAAACCTCAACCCCCCGCGTACTGGGATGAAAATTTCGTAGTAGCACTAAACGATGACCTCGTAAAATGCGTAGAATTCCAAGATAGCAGTAGTATTAACGCCGCTTGGAATAACGTCAAAACGGCTAATTATCCAGGCACCAAAAAGCTCGACCGGAACGAGAACTTCGCACGTTCAAATTCGATTCAAACACAAACTGCATTCACTCTGCGTAGTCAATTGCTCAAATCAAGTCGATTTCAAATTAACTCAATTTCAAACAGTTCAAACCTAGAAAAACAAAACAACATGAGTAGACAATTACAACAAGGCATGACTTTACCACCCTTTCGCCGCATAACAAGGAAAGCACATACCGCAGCCCAAACCCAACTCACCTTCTCTCCCCTCAATTACGCATCGTTTAATGCACTTCTATCTAAACCCCCACCACCAGAACTTACATTCAGTGACGTGACACATCAGGTCATACCCTCTACAAACAGCTTCACATTCAACAGAATTGAATCCAAGAAAGCTGATGCCATTTGCCAGACACTGGAAATAGATCAATCCCCTGACACAGACCATCAAACCCAAACCGACAACAACCAGTCATCAAAACAGGACACGGAAAGCCAAACTATTGCCAGCATAGAAGATGAAGACACCCCAATGTTCCGAAAGAATTTACGAAAGGTGATGGACGTAAGCTTCCTAGCAGCCGCTACCAAACGAGATAGAAATTTATCACCACTCTTAACAATGGTTAAGCAACAAAAGTGGGACTCGATCAAAAGCTGCTACGGCCCTTATTTTTACAATGTAAGGCATCGCCTATCAGTCAGGGACAACATTCTTCTCTACGACGACCGCGTCGTCATACCGAAACAACTGAGGCCTACACTGATGGATGCTTTACACCTCACACATCCAGGACAAGGGGGAATGCTAGAAGCAGCGAAGCAT